CAAAAAAAAACTCTGAAAAATAAAATGGAAAATAATAAATTCTCTGTCTAGTATCTAGAGGTGCATCTGTTTTATAGACTTATTCTTTATACCACTGCTTCTCCAACCTTAAAAATTAATGGTTTAGGGTACATGTGAAACTTACTAAATGTAGAATATAAATGTCTTAACACAATAACTAAGAAAATGTCATGAAGGCTATGTTAACCAATTTGATGAAAATATTTCAAATTGTATATAAAACCAGCACATTGTACCCCATGACTGCATTAATGTACACAGAGATGATTTAATAAAAAAAAAAGAAAAAAATTAATGGTATGTCTTGTTATGCAAATTCTGGATTCAATAAGTCTAGAGTGGGGCCTAAGATTTTCCATTTCAACTTCCAAAGCAAAGCCAATGTTGCTGGTCCTTGGCCCCAGATTTTGAGGGAAAAGGTTTTATAAAATTTATAAGGTAAGATAAATAGCATTTGAGATTCAAACCAAACACACTGAATAATTAAATGGCAGTTGCCTCAAAATGAGATGGGACTCAATAGAATTGAAGATGTGCTCTTTCTGAACACTAAAATGACACTTTCTAGAAAGACTGAGTCTTGCTTTATTATCTATTGCTACATAGCAAAATTATTGGCTTAAAACAATATCAAACATTTATTTTGCTCATGAATTTGAAATGTGGGCAAAGCTTTGCAGAGATAACTTGTCTCTGTTCCACATGGCATCAACTGGGACAATTTAAATGGGGACTGGAGTAGCCACTTACAAAATGACTCACTGTGTGGCTGGCCAGTTGATGCTGGCTTTAGCTGTGAATTAGCTGTGAGCTCAGCCAGAGCTGTGGGACAGCAGTCTTGGATCCTCTCCATATGACGCCTCCATGGGCTGCTTGAGCTTTCTCATAGCATGGTGATTGCTTTCCAAGAGTAAGTGTCTCAAGAGAACAAAGACAGAAGGTACCAAAAAAAAGTGTGTATACATTTTAAGAAAAGAAAAAATTGTGTTAAAATTGTAATACTCAATATATGCAGATAAAAAAGATGAATATAAGTCACATTTGAGCACCTCTTACAATTGCAGAAGTCAAACATGACTTGAGTATTACAATTTTACATTTTTTGGCACTTTCTGGTAGATAGCATTTTTATGACCAAGCCTCTGCTATTAATTATGGTACATTCTGCTGTTAATTGACATGGTCAATTAAGAAGAAGAGTGACGGAAAATTCTACCTTTTGAGGGTGGAATGGCAAAGTTCTATAAGAGCATGAGGAATGGAGCATAAAATCATGACCATCTTTGGAAAACACCACCTATCATACCTATCCACCCCAAATGCTTTGTGAACAAATGCTAAATTTATTAGAATGCAAAATTCTCTAATGCTAGCCTATTCCTATTTCCATGTATATATATTTTAGGAAAGAAAAAAAGAAATATAAAACATATTGGAAGAATTGAGAAAAAGAAGAAGAAACGATCAGCTAATTAATGGAGATTAGAAAAAAACAAGAGGGAAATAGGTTAAAGAGTAAAAATAGAAGTCCAAAAAGGAGGTAAAATAGAAGACCTCATCAGAGAGGACTGGGGGCAAGGACTAGGGGCAAGTTCATTTATAATGAAGCATATGTCAGAATGTCTTTACTTTCCAAGGCTGAATAATATTCTATTGCAGGTTCGTATGTATCACATTTTGCTTATCCACCTATGAATGACACTTAGGTTACTTCCACATTTTAGCTATTATACATAATGTGGCTGTGAATATGGGTGTACAGACACCTCTCTGAGACCCTGTTTTCAATTCTTTTGGATATCCTTGACTTACAGAAGCAATCATACTGCCTGATCTTCCATTTGCCAACTTGTGTTTCTACTCCTACAATTTGAGATCTAACGCCTGTGAAAAATACACCTGGGGCTGTTCTTCAGGCCAGATCAGTACCCATGCAATTTTAAGATCGTCATGACAATCAGATCTCCCAGTAAACAAATGCTAGTAATTATACAGTGAGACATGGAAACAAAAGGTCCCTCTGTTCACACAGGGTCCTTCAAATTGGCTCCCCGCAATTCTTCATTTGGTCTCCACATTGTCCTGATGGGATATGGGAGTCTAAAGTGGCGTGAGAAAGTCATGGCATACTCAATGGTTGGTGCATGAGGCAAGGTTTTCTGCATCTTTCCCTGAAGAAGCATTTCAAAGACCAGAAGAGGACTATTTCTACTGCAAAATTCGTGTAACTTCCTTTCAAACATGACCACTGAGCATTCCTATACATTGGAAACTCACCACCTCTCCACTCTTCCTCTACACCACTCACTTCAGGTGCAAAAGATAAGGATTTCCTCATGAAGCACCACTGCCTGGTACATGAGGATGTTCCACTTATGCTATTGGGATGAGTTCCTGGAAGGAAGATGAGGAAAATGATCTGTACTTTTCTTGATTTCTACCCAGGCGTGTCTGTTCTGTAGGCGTCCTGGAGTTCTTCCCAGAAGGCAGATCTCAAAATCTTCAATGCCAATCATGAATAAGTGTTTCATTTACTTAAAAGAATAAAACCTGTTTGGTGTTGTGCATATGAATGAAAAGTGCCAAGTTAAAAGGAACAATTGCCGATCTTCACCTATAATAAAGTCCTGAAAGAAAGGACCAGCTCATTCTCCCCTCTCCCCTTCCTTCTATTTTCTACACCAATCCCTTCCCATTTACCAAAAGAATCAGGACGTCTACCAGAGAGACAGCTGAGTTGAGACTGGGTTGCTGCCTAAATGTGTGAATTTGGGCATGTCAGTTAATTTCCCTGTCTGTTGCTCCTACACAGAATTAGAATAAGAGTCTTTATCCCTCTTTATCTTCTTTTGAACTTTGCCAAAGAAAGGCACTACAAAGATGCTAAGGAAAATCCTGCCAGCAATTATAGCTACCCTGTGAGGATATACTGTGTGTTCTTAACTCAGAAAGTCTAGAAGTAAGGTCTTTCCTGCTATATTCATGCATTGTCAGGGCATCGTTATTATTGGGCATAATACTTTGAAATATTAAAGAAAATAAGGATAGAATGCTAAATGTTAAAACTATGATACTGAAGATGAGCATTATGAGGCCATCGAATCCTTAGAATGCCCCTGCTTCACTCTGCTCAGACACTGCCCTGCAGTTACTTCCTCCCTCCGTTCGTATTTCAGACAAACCAAGCGTTAGCAGTGCATAGTCTCTTGGCCTCCTAATCTAAGGGAGGAAGAGCCTGGGAGTTCACATTCAAGCTGGAAGTTCTAGCCTTAGGGCATATTCAATAAGCCATATACCTAAAATAGTTATGCCAAAGAAATCATAAGCAACTTGGATATGGCACCCAGCCTCTCTAAGCCTCTGTATTACTTTGTTAGGGCTGCCATAACAAAATCCCACAGACCAGGTGGCTTAAACAAAAGAAATTTATTTTTGCACAGTTTTGGGTACTAGAAGGCCAAGATCAACAGATTGGCAGGTTTGGTTTCTCCTGAGACCCCCACCCTTGACTTACAGATGGACACCATCTCGCTGTACCCCCACATGGCCTTTCCTCTGTGCATAAATTTCTGGTGTCTCTTTCTCTTCTTATAAAGACACCACACATACTGGGTTAGGGCATACCCTTAAGGTCTTATTTTAACTTAACACATTAAAGATTTTACCTTCAAATGTAGTCACATTCTAAGGTTAGGGCTTCAACATATGGATTTTAGAAGAACATGGTTCAGTCCATAATAGCCACTTTAAAAGTAGCCATCATAAAACTGATGTAAGATATAAACTAGAACATGACATATTCTAAACAAGTCATCATTCAAATATTATGTTATTAATATTCTTGTTATCATTACAATTAATATTATCTCTGAAATATTGTCAGTCTCCCAGGAAATCTGAATTTTCCACCTTTGTAAGAATTATATCATAATTGTTACGTTACTTAAGATGCTTAGATACAAATCCAGACTCCTCCACTTGTTAGCTATGTGACCCTCAGAAATGGTTAACATTTCTAAGCCTTAATTTCCCTATTTATAAATTAAGGATGGTAAAAGTAGCACCTATTATGTAGGGTTGTTGAAAGGGTTAAGAGGCAATGCATGAAGGTGACTAGCTATAGTACATGTTCAATAAAGTAGAGTTGTTAATAAGAGCAGTATTGACCTTGTTGCTGCTGCTGCCTCTTTCTCAACCAGCAGAGGTCTCCATCATAGTCAGTGAGGACTAGCTTCCCTGTGACCATCTGCACCACAGCTGCCAAGCACATCCACTGTTGGCAGAGAAAATAGTGAAAGAATTACCACCCTGTCCAAAGTGAGGGGAAAAAATTAAAACAAGAGAACAGGAAATAGTTAGGATCCCACAATAAAATGTTAAATGAAAAGGTGACTGTAAATTAAGATTATCTGTTTCTAGTACTGACTTTTGCAAATATGGCCCTAAGTTGCATCTCACTTTAGCTTGTTTTAAACCTGAGTTTAAAAGAAAGAAAGAAAGAAAGAATACTCACATAGATTACAGAAGAACAGTAAGCATAAATTGGCAAATGTTTGTAATGTTCTCTGAAAACAGTAAGTGCTAGTAAATAAACACTTGACATTTCTCACATAATTAACCTTTTTCATCATTATCACCAGTTATGCTCCGTGCCTCAGTTTCTGCTTACACTGTAATATAGTCCCTTTAACCTTTTGTCCTTGGACAAGCTTATACCTCCAAGTTCAATTATTCTGTCTATTATGTTTTAAATCGTACTGATTTCCATTAACCACTTGTGCATCAATTTGTTGATCTATTCCTTCTTCTGAACCAATCGTCTTTGTACCCATTGAAAGCTAAAGGCAATTAAACTGAGGACGATGAGAGTTATTTAAGAAAAATTAAATCATAAAGGTAAATAAAGTGGGAAGAGTGGAATTTAAAAAGTGTACTGAGGAAAAAAATGCACATGTACTAAAAAGCACAGAACCGGAGCAGATAGAAGCACAGAGGGGAAAGAGAGCGAGGAAGGCAGATCCTGCTCGTGCCTACTCGAGCTCTCTTTCAGCACCAAGGACAGAACCTCTCGGCGGGTGACCCTAGCAACGTTTAGTTTAGCATCCCTCCCAAATCCTCTAGAAAAAAACGGATGCATTCATAAGCAGCTGTAAAACATGCACCAAGGTCTAGTAGGGTAGCTGGAAAAGCAGCACACAAGTAATTTCACCTGAGAGGCAAAAATGGGTGATTTTCTTTCTGTTCAGGTACATAGTTTCCGTGTCCTGGGAAAGGCAAAGTTTGCCTTGCTTGGGTATGTCTGCTGTCAGTAAATGGCTGCGGGGACTCAAGTGCTAAACTCCACAGTCTCAGAAATCAGAGGAAATTTTCAGGGTAAGTAATTTTTCATTTTGTTTCTAATTTAGTACATCATGTTTTCCTGGAAGTTTATTTAATCAGCTTGGAGTTCTGGGGTTCTCTAAGAATATGCAGTAAAACTCTATACCTGCTCTTATTTAAAAACCTAAAACCCTAAGGATACTGTTTTTATTTTTTTTTTCTAAGTGGTTGGACAGTAAAAACCTGTTCTCTTCTTTTTTTCTTTTCTTTTTTTCCCTGAAATTGTATGCTCATGGGTTGTAGAAGCTATATCAAGGCAGGATTAAAAGATAGAAAACAAAAAGCTGTTATTATTCCTGGGATTTGCGTGGAAGTTGATTGTATTCCTCTTAAGGGTTTTACTTAATTGTAAGGGTCTGTTATTTTAAACTCCCCAATTCAATACCCTGGTAATCCAGGGCTGAGGGTTTTGAGAGGCATTGTTTTCAATGGTCTATTTAAAGTCAGCCTATTTCCAAGTCAGAATCCAATTATTCCCAACAGAGATATGTAGTGGCAATGATGATTGTGTATGTTTTTGTGATGATATATGATTTTTAGCGTATTGTTATTTAATTGTGGGACTTTCATTACTTATCGTAGCTTATGGGGTCAATGGAAATAATTGCAAATAGGCATTTCCTCCAGTTCCTCCATTTAGCTTAGTTGAATACCTTCGAAATGCACACACAAGTAATAATGCAGAAATAGCAAAGTGGGACTTGGATTCTAAACTCATTGTGCATGTTTGTTTAAACTCATTGTGCATGTTTGTTTGCATTTTGTTGGTGAAGCCCTTCACCTACTGATACTAAAAGGTCAGTAAAATGTCTGTCCTTAGGTAAGAGTGAAGAACAGCTGCTTGACGTGACATTAGAATCTCTGATAGACAAAGAGAAGCAGAGATAATTGAGAAAGATTCTTCCTCAAGCACGTGTTTATTTATAGTTGTATATTTTCAAGTCTGCATGGTTAGCAGTAGCGGGGATATTGAGTAGGAAAATACTGACAGTATCCAAATGAGTGCCTGATATTAAAGCATCTATACAGAAGGCTGCTTCAGAATACGAATTAAAGCAAATTCCAAATAGATTCTACTCAATAAATTCAGTTTCTAATTCATTGAAATTCGTTATCAATATTTGCTTATTGACTGCCTGATCTACTGAATTCCTATCTTATCTCTGATTATAACAGCAGTGTGCTCAGTCTTTAGAGGTTGTAAGGGAAAGTGAGGGTGTTCTGCTTTGCTGAGCAGTTTTAATGAGGAAAAAAGATGATATCATCTAAGCTATTGGATCCCCGTAAGCAGCTATGTTTTTTTTCTGTACATCTACCAACAATGTAAATGTGCCCAAATACCCATATATAAATATACTATATATTCAATGCACTTTTGAGTCTTCATTAGGTAAATACACTAGATTGCAATTTGCAAGAATAAAATGTCATAGAAATGCTAAAGACTACCTCTAATAATAATGACAATGTAACTCCCACTGGTTCTATCAGCAGTGTGCACCTGCATTGACTTACTGAGCTTAGTCAGATGATGTGCACAAGATACTCTGAACAAGCGAGATTTTAAAATTAGTACCCATTTCATGTTTGTCTGCCTTACCCCAAAAGTGGCTTAGTTAAGAATATGAGCTCTGGAATCAGACAGATCTTGGATTGAGTCAACTCCATCATTTCCCGGTTTGTGACCTTAGCAAGATAAGTTTAACCTCTTTGGGCCTCACTTTCTTTATCTGCAAAAAATGAGATGATGATGGCATTTATCTCCCTCATCAGGTTGTTGCAAGGTTTAAATATGATAATGTTTACAAATGTGAGCTACAATTATTAATTTTATCAGGCAATATAGCAAGTCTGGATTGAAGCCCAGGCCAGAAAAGTTCTGAAGATGGGTGGTCAGGGTGTGACTGAGTGAAAAATTAGAGGTGGCAAGAGCTAGCGATCTGTGAACTGGGTGAAGATGGAGTCATGGACCCCTGCTACAAAGGTGTTTTGCTCTGGGTTGAAGAAAACTCATCTCCACTTGAGAATGACTCCTGACTTCAACTTCTACTCACAGACAGAATGAATTGTGAGCTTTGGCTTTAGGGGGACCTGAGATCAAAGCTTGGCTCAAACCAGCACCTTATACATTGTGTAATCTTGAAGAAGTTACTGAACCTCTGTCTCAGTTTTTTAATCCACAAAAGGATATCGACCTTTATGGCTGCTATAAATGTTAAAATGAGATAATACATGTAAAGTCCTAGCATCTGACACACAGTAGCAGCCCAGGAGTAGTCGCCTGTAGGAGCAGGTTGAGGTCTCAAGGTGCTTTTGTTGTGTTTGTTTTTTGCTTATCTCAATACCCTTAAGGAAAGAGAATAAATAATTAATACCCTGTAAATCCCACAAATGTTCCAGGCAGACTGTCACTCAGCACTGAAGGATTGAACAGCAACAAAGGATGTATGTCATAGCTGATGGGGGCCTGACCACTCTCTAGTTCCTTTGCTTTTTAAAATAGATCATGCACTCACTCTAAGAGGTGCTCAAACAGACTATAAAGATCAGGATATATCAATACTTTATAAGAAAGTTAAAGGCTCATTAAAATCTGTACATAGTGCTGCATGTAATGAATCTTAAAAGAGTGAAGCCAGCAGTAATCCTCCAGTCTTTGCCTTCTATACTTTCTCACCCCCACATCTACTTTTAACACCCAGCACTCTGCTGGTCACCAGTGATGTGCTCATTCCCAAGTTCATTAGACACTCTCCAGCTGTAGCTTATTTGACCCCTTTACCTCATCCTGCTTTTCTGTTAACAATAAAGCTACTATATTTCAGGTGCTATTTGCTGGACATTATGCTAGGGCAGTGACTCCTTTGACAATGTTCACAGCATTTTTGGTTGTAATGACTTGGGGTCGGGCAGGGGTGAGGGGGTATGATACTGGCACCTAGTAGGTAGGTGTCAGGGATGCTGATAAATAACCTACAATGCTCAGGATGACGCCCACAGTACAGAATTATCCATCCCAAGTTGTCAATAGTGCCAAAGCTTTACATATACAATTTCATTTAATCTTCACAATGACCCAGTGAAATGGCTATGATTATCCCCATTTTGCTGATGAGGAAGCCAGCCTACACTTATGAGTTACTTAGAGAGTGATTATTGAGTTAAGGGACTCTCTAGACTCTTTGCTTCTCCCTACCTGAGACCAGAGTATTATCTGTTAGTACATCTATCAGAGGGAAAAAAGAAAGAAGAAAGCCCAGCTGAGCTCTGTGTTGTATAAGCAACACACAAGGAGGGAGGGAAATATCTAAGGAGGGAGAAAGCTGAAACAATTAGCTGAGAGGTAGGGAGTATTCTAGCATCTCACTCATCTCTGCTTTCATCTCTCACATCCACAACCTGTCAGAAACTGCCTGGACAACTTTAGCTTACCCCACCTGCTGCTATAAAGAATATAAGACTTGAGACAGTGCAATGTGAAAAAAATAAATCAGAAACCTATGGAGTTGTGATTCCAACATCAGGCTCAGAATTGATTTTGAGAATTGAGGGTTCCCCTTTATATAATTAGCCATCGACACTAAGCTGTACTATTTTTAAGTAGCTGACAACCTCTGGAAAGAGTAAAAAGTCCAGCAAGATGGTAACAAACATCACAAGTTTTTGTGCTTCCCTCTTAAATGGCGGGTGAGATGAGGCTAAGACATCAGTAGACAACTGCAAGGCCCAGGAAAGGAGGATTCTGGCCACTGCCTTCCAAGGTGGCCCAGTTGTGAAAGGAAAGTCATCTGAGCCCAAGCCTGCCTTAAAAGTGGAAATATCCCTGAACAATCAGAAAGCATTGTATTTTTCCAAAAGCTCTTGGCAGCAGCAGTACTATTTCCAGGGTAGCAGCTGCCCTTTTCCGAATAATGAGAAAATTATAATTATTATCAAGAATTACTATTATGTTTTAAAATACATTGAGTGCAAACAGTTTGCCAAGATAAAGAACAATTTTTAAAAGCAATTCTCTGATATATTTCAAGTTGGTCACCCCTTTGCAATCATTTGCTCATTTTAACACTTTCATATTCCAGGCTAAAATATCTTAAAATGAAGTATGAAATGACAGCCGTGATTAGGCCAGTCTCCTAATCAAAGGAGAGTTGCAGAGCCAGGATTGAGAACATATCCTGGACACCAACCCAGTCTCTATGTCTGCCAGAGCCTGGAGCAAGAGTTCCAATGGAGGCCCATATATATTATGTTTAAATATTTTGGAGTCATAACCAACAAAGCATTAAATAAAATGTTTAATCTTCCCACCCTGAAAAATATACCTTCCTAGCAATCTGGAGGGCCAGGTTTGAACTTAGGATTCAGGAGCCCCTAGGACTTCTATACATGATGTGACAGTGCAGAAGAAGCTGGGCCCCATCCTCTGTCCCACCCCAGGGACCCTATCCTTTTCTTTTCCCACCTCAAGCTACACAGAAGGTATTCATCCAAGTGCCAACAAAAACCGCCACCTGGTCCCAGGGACCATACACACACACACACACACACACACACACACAGACACATGCATACACAGCACACATGGCAGAGTCTGCCCACAGGGTGATAGATTCAAAATGAGGCCTGTGATGCCCTGGAAACAGGCTCGGAGCACTTTTGGCACTGGGCATGTAGTCTGATGGGGTGTAGACCTTTAGAGGGTATGACCTCATCCAGTGGGAACATATCACCAGAAGAGGGTGTCTTAGTCTGTCTGGGATGCTGTACCAAAACAACATTAACTGGGCTTCTTATAAACAACAGAAATTTACTTCTGGGAAGTCCAAGATGAAGGCACCAGCAGAACTGTGTCTGGTGAGGTCCTGCCTTCCGGTTCCCAGACAGCTACCTTTCTGCTGTGTTCTCACATGGTAGGCTAGAAGGTGTTCAGCTCTCTGGAGTGTCCCACGTAAGAACACTAATCCCATTCTTGAGGGCTCTGACCTCATGACCTAATCACCTCCCAAAGACCCCTCCTCTCTCCTGTACCAGCCCTACCACCCCCCTGAGAGTTGGTACTTCAACATGTGAATTCAGAGGGGACACAAACTTTGGGGTCACAGCAGAGACCAAGAGTGCAGCCCTCTTCCAGGGCAGAGCTGGAAGCAGGAGCCATTTTTGCTTGGGTTTCAGGGTCCTACTGTAAAAACCACACTCCTTAGATCTTCTCCTAGACCCCAGAACTGGGAGAGAATGTATTTCCATTCTTTATACTTTACCCAATCTTGAGTATTCTGTTCCAGCACAGATGGACTTAGATAGCTGAGTTCCATCATTTCCCCCATTTCACACAAGAGGGAACTGGAGCTCAGACAGGTAGAGTAATGTGCACAAGGTCCTGCGGTGTCCTGAGTCCAAGCATGGCTCTTTCAATGGCCTGTACAACCTTTCCACCTCATGCTGTTCTACTCCTCCCCCGACTCGCCTGGCTTCAGCCATGCTGGCCTCCCTATCATCCCTTCTATGTGGTCGCCCTTCCTCTTGGCACCTGCTGTTCCTACTGCTTGAACCACTCTCCCACCAGATATCTGCCTGGTCTGCTTCTCTGTGTCCTCCAGGTTTTGATTCAGTTGCCAGTTTCTCCACGAGGGCTTCCTGATCACACTGGGCATGTGGTCTGATGGGGTGTAGACCCTTAGAGGATCTGGGGTCACACTGACACCTACTTACATACATGCAATCCACACCCCCTTTTACCCCTCGCTGATTTTTCTCCACAATACATATCATCATTGAACATACTACATCTTTTATTTACCTTACATATTATCTGTCTTCTTCTCTAGAATGGAAGCTTCACGGAGGAGAAATTTTTATCTGTTTTGTAACTCCAACAATGAGGTAGAGAAACAGTATTATATAGGAAGTGCTCAATAAATATTTACTGACTCAATAAACCAAAAAAAAGTACATAAGCAACCAAGATGCAAAGAGTCTGACTTTACCTCTATTGCTTTCTCTTTCCTCCCAGGATACCCTTTGGGGTCACGCTCCTCCTTCTGGGCTATGGCACCTTTAAGCCAGCTGAGTAGCCACCTGAACTATACCTGTGGGGCAGAGAACTTCACCGGTGCTGACCGGGCCCGTCCACATGCCTACTACGCCCTCTCCTACTGTGTGCTCATCCTGGCCATCATCTTTGGCAATGGCCTGGTGTGTGTGGCTGTGCTGAGGGAGCGGGCCCTGCAGACCACCACCAACTACCTGGTGGTGAGCCTGGCCGTGGCAGACCTGCTGGTGGCCACCCTGGTGATGCCCTGGGTGGTGTACCTGGAGGTGAGTGGGCTCCAGGCATGTACTGCTCATGTATCCGTGCTTTTCTTTGTCTTTCCTGAGCTCCTGGCCTTTGGGGCTCAAAGGACTCCTCTAGTGGTCCAGGAGCTGAGGAAGGAAATTCTTTTTTTAATGAGGGAACTGAAGCTCTGGGTGGCAGTTACCATCTGATCCTTCTCCCACATCAGAAACAGGGGGCTGGGAATGATACTGTTCTCAGATCTATACGATCCTGGGAACTGAACTTGAGAGATGGGATGATTCCTAAAAGGACCTTGAGTTTATTCTCAATGATGTGGTGTATTGAAGGAGGCAGTCCAGAGGGCATCTTCTTCAGTGTTCAATATATATGGAGTGAGAGTGTGCAGGAGAGATATGGAGCTCTGGTGGTGGAAGACATTATATTAAAAACAAAAAGAAGCCATTTTTTTTCAGTGAATAAGAAGAAGAGAGAGAAAGAATGGTCTGCAAATAGATCAGACCTCTTTTGGTGGTGCAGTTGCCTTCATCTTGGCTTTTCCCTCCTGATTGCCAGCTCTCTGCAGACTCTGCTACTGAAGGAACAAACTAAACCTTCAAATTTATGTTTCCCATGCCTCCGTTAATAGTATGGAGCCTTTGCCAGTTAGATGGTGCAACAGACCCTGGAGAATTCTTCTGGGGGAGAAGCTTTTCTTAAATTCGAAAGTGTTTTCATTTGCAAGTGCAAGACAAAGACAGGAGTGATCAAGACAAAACATCCATTTGCTAACAAGGAAATCAGGGTGCCCACATCTGTTCAAGAAATGCATATTCTCACCAAGAAAACATGTAATTATTAAAGAGATATTTTTAAGAACATCTTAACATACCATTAATATTTCTCCTCTGCACTGTGTGTCATTCTAAGGAGGTACCCACTGAAGGATCAAAATGATGCTATGATTAAGAGAAATTAAGATTCATCAAATTAATATCTCAGTTAATGTTAATAGTGAAGGTGACAGTTAAGGATGACATATCACGGGAGAGCAAAAACCTTGATCATTGACTGCTAGTGCCCATATCAAAGAATGACTGGGAACCAAAATTAGACCTGGGATCTCAAAAGAGAGAGGTAAAGGAAGAAAATAGATAGGAAAGGGAAGAGACAAAAAACAAGTAGGCTGATTGGAATAGATCTAAAGTCTAAGGGAATACTTACGTTTGAAAGAAGATATGTGCTTATTTCTCCTCAGGATAATTCTGATGGTAAAGAGTCTTGTAATTATCTTAACTGTTCTGTCAACCTACTTGGGGTAAGAAATCCTGAAGTCAGAGGTTATGTCTTTGTTCTTCATTCCCATGGTCTAAACACACTCCCTGGCATATAACCTGCGCTAAATAAATATTTGATGTATGAATGATGACATGAATCTGCTCTGTAAATATGCATTATGTAGGCAGTTCCAGCTTACACCATCATCTTATACATCTCCTGTTACCTGCATACTTCTAGGGGGGAGGAAGAGGTGAAATATTTATTATTTTACATTTGATAATAATGAGAACAAAAAGAAGTTAGGAGCATGGGATAATCTTGCTCAGAAGTGAGGCACTTTAGGTGCCACAAACCTGTATATCTTGGTCAATGATTCACGGCACCACCAGCATCCCCCTGAACTGTTTCTGTTCATCTCTCTGCGTTACAAAGTTTCTTAAGTCCAAGTTTCTAGAGAAGGAGGAATGTCAGAAATGCAGGCAGTGGACCTTACTTCTAATGAGCATTTTCAGTCCCTCTAAAATAAAATTAGTCTTTTGGTGTCTATAATAAAGCCACTTGGCACTCTTTGGCTACCCATTTATAATTTCTTCCAGGTCTCTGGCTGAACTATATTGGAAAACCCCTGTACATACTGGCTTAAAAGATGAATGTTGTGACTTCTCCACACTAGGAAGCCATGACATCCCCTTCTAGCCAAATCTGCTGATATAACTGATGCCCCTGTTATAATGCACAGCAGAGAAGAGCAGCTGAGACCACAGGGAGCCCCTGGAAACCTTGCCAAAGGCCTTACTGGGAACTCTGTAGTAGTATCTGTGGGTTTCCTCCCATGAGAAAAGCATTGGTAGAGCTCTTAGTTTCCCACCATAAAAAGCACTATGCCCTATGTCCCTCGGGTAATTTGATGCAGGTGTTCAGTAGTCAAGAGCATGGTCAAAATAATCTACATTCCCATAAAGAAGATTTGGAGGAGCAGAAACCTCTCTTCACTGGGAAATGGGCTTTGAGGCTTCTTTTTTGGTCTTACCAACTTGCTTCAAGGCCCAGTCAATGCAACTTAATATCTCTGAGTCACTTTCCCCAGCAGTCAACTAAGGATCTAACTCAATAGAGGAGAGGATATGACTGGAAGCAGCTATCATTAACAGATGGCCAGTTAAGATATTAGAGGTTTCTAGTTCAGAGGACCAGGTGTCCCTATCCCACATTAGTATATACTTTCCTTAGTCTTAAATTTTTTCCTGTCTTTCCTTTGAGACAGATGAGATACTTTAATGAGAAAAAAGAGCACTCTGAGCTTTTAAAATATGGACTATGAATATACAAATCCATGTGTCTTAGGAAGGGCAAGGTGTTGCTCTTACTAATTTGTCCTGACAATGGTCCAGTTTGAGTAACTGGTCTTGTAATCATATGATTACACCTAAGAGCCTCCTTTGAAAAAGGAAAGGGTTCACTGGTGATCACAGAGACTGCTGTAGCCTTGAGGGTCCCCAGGAAGATAGGCCCAAAAATTAGAAAAACACCATTTTGTGGACCAAAGGATTCATCAAATTCGTAGCTTCATGTGCTTTGATTTGAATACATACATCTTTCTCAAAGGAAAATTAGTTCATTTTCCAGATATGTATGAGTTAGGAATGTTTTGACTGTAAATAGTGGAAACCTTGACTAATTGTGGCTTAACCAAATTTTCTACTTCTTATATAACCAGAATGGTGGAGGAAGGAGATTGTTAGTGTTAGTTCAGCTGCCCCATGATGTCATCTCAGACCAGACTTTTCTATTCTTCCTCTTCAATATCCTTGGGCTGTCATGGCCCCAGAATCATGGTAGTATTCAAAATTGGATGGATAAGGACATCAGAAGGAGAGAAAAAGTCCTTCCTCTCCCAAGAGTAGCTTGAAGCATCTTTCTAAAGAACTTCATGTAAGCCTAGTTGGCCAGTACTTAACCATGAAGTCACTAAAGATAGGAAGGAGAAGGAGAAGGAAATGAAGGAGGAGGAAGAAGAGGGAGGAAGGAAGGAAGGAAAAAAGGAAGGAAGGGAGGGAGGGAGGGAGGAGAGAAGAGAAAAAAGAAAAGAAAGGAAAAGGCAAAGAAAAAATGTTTTATTTAAAAAATGATGTAAAGATAGGAAGTTGCTACGGGCAGTCAATACGGTGTCATACAACATTGCTTCTGTGAGAATTCACTGGGACGAATGCCATTTCAACACAAGGTCATGCTATGAGAAAGGCTCAGAACCTAGAGTCAGAAGACATGGAATTAAGTGAATAAAATGGAAGTGACAACAGTACTTTCCACATTGAGCTGGTGTAAGGCTCAACTGTTATTGGCTGAGAGAGAGACTTGATAACTCAAAAGTGTAATCTATAAATGTTTCAGTTAAGTCACCTTTTGTGGCTTACTGTAATTGGCTTAAATAAACAGAATGCACTGGTTATCACATCAGGAACTTTAAAAGTTCTGAGTTAGGATGGGCTTCAGGCACAGTTTGATCTGTGAAGCTCCAGCTCCATTTCTCTATAATTCTATCAGCTCTGCTCTCTTCAGTTGACCTTATCCTCAGGCAAAAGTCCAACCATGGACCTCACATGTGCACACTGCATGACACCATTCACAGCAGGAGAGAAAATCCATCTTAGAACTTCTAGTAGAAGAGATGTGCTGTGTTTGGACTAGATTGTGCCAATGTGATTTTTTCTGAACTAATCACCAGAAAAATTATGTGTGGAACACGTCAGCTGCTTGAGGATCTCGTGAATTCCCAGTGTCCTACTGGAAAGAAAAGACAATCAGTAAGTGTGACCCATAGTTGGCTCTCATGGGTATCATTCTCAGAGTAGCTTAAAGCACTTGGGGATTCCCAGGGGCCAGTCACTGACCCATTTCAGTATTCTCTGTCCTGGAGCCTAGCAGAAAAGTTCAGGACAAAAGCCTGACCTCACAGAGGGTTCTATTTCACAGGGCTCCTGGCTTGACTGTCTCTTTAATTCAGTTTATGGTATTTTCTCAAAAACTCTTTTCTGTGCCATATCAAATAGTTCTATCTCAGGTTCCCTCTCAAGTTTTTAATTTCCTGCTTTACAGGCTGCACTCTGGAGTGTTCTTGCCAAGCACAAACATCTCATTTTGTTCCACTCGCTTAAGCACCTTTTGTGATGTTTATGCACTTAGATCAGGACAGAAAGGTAGTGTAGGCAGCCAGGGGATGATTTGGAATACTAAATTCAGAGCACTTGGGTTCCAGTATGGACAGGAGAAAAGACTCGGAGTTAAGAAATGTGGACAAGAAAACAGAGCGGGGTGGGTTCAGGCAGGGAAATGTACTACAGAAAAGCAACCAAGGTCAGATGGATAAAAGGAAGCAACAGTAATATATTGGGAATGGATGAACGTTTGGGCTTTGTAATGATGGTGATTATTAAAAAGAATGACATTTACTTGATAACAATTAAGACTTCCCTACTGTAGTGGCCAGGCGTGGTGACTCACACCTGTAATCCTAGCACTCTGGGAGAATCCAGATGAGTGGATTGCTTGAACTTAAGAGTTTGAGACCAGCCTAAGAAAGACCAAAACCCCTTCTCTAAAAAAATAGATGGGCAGGCAGCGCCTGTGGCTCAAAGCCCCATATGCCAGAGGTGACAGGTTCAAACCCAGCCCCGGCCAAAAACTGCAAAAAAAAGAAAAGAAAAAAATTAAAAAAAAAAAAAAATAGATGGGCCTTGTGGTGGGCACCTTTAGTCTGAGCTAC